GAGGCTGAGGCTGAGGCAGGCTGATGCTGAGGCAGGCTGAGGCTGAGGCTGAGGCTGATGCAGGCTGAGGCTGAGGCAGGCTGAGGCTGAGGCCGAGGCTGAAGGCAGACTGAGGCTGAGGCTGAAGCAGGCTGAGGCTGAGGCAGAGGCAGGCTGAGGCTGAGGCTGAGGCTGAGGCTGAGGCTGAGGCTGAGGCTGAGGCTGAGGCTGAGGCAGGCTGAGGCTGAGGCCGAGGCTGAAGGCAGACTGATTTTGAGGCTGAGGCAGGCTGAGGCTGAGGCTGAGGCAGGCTGAGGCTGAGGCAGGCTGAGGCTGAGGCTGAGGCACGCTGAGGCTAAGGCTGTGACTGCGACTGCTTTTGCCACTGCGACTGCCATCGCGAATGCGACTACGACTGCGAGAACAGCAGAATTCTACAACAGGATTCTCATCTGAATCTTAAGGGGAATGCTTCCAGATATGCTCCTACACATCGCTGTTAGGTTGCTTTGCCGGGATACTTTTTAATGGGGGCTCTTTTGGGGCGTCTTGGGCCGTCCTGGGACGTTTTGGGGCCTCCCTGGGAAGCCCCGGGGCGCGGTCCCAGGAGTGCCCCCTCGATGTTCCAGAAGTGTTGGACGCTCGTGTGTGTGTGTGTGTGTGTTGTCTCATGTTCAACATATATCACTGTACATATGGTTGCAAATCGCAAACATACATTCATACCATATATACGTACGTCCATACACACATGCATAGAAGCATACATACATGCATGCACACCTATATATATATATATATATATATATAGATATACATATGTAGGATGTACAACGTATTGTGCCTGAATACACGCCCACACACGCTCTTCCAAAGGAGCTGCTTGATGTTTGCCTTGAGGGGGGGGCCCTTTTCGGCGGCCCGTTTGACCGTCCTCAGGGCCTTTATGCTGCCTAGCAGCAGTCTTTGGTTGTCTTGGGGCGCTCTGGGGCTGTCTTGAAGCCATCTCAGTGCGCCCTTCAGCCATCTTCCAGGCAACCTGGGGCGTTTCGGGAGCCTCTTGGGCCAGCTTGGGGGCCTCTATGCAAACCAGGGGTCCTGGTTCCGAGCCTTCCCCCGGCCTACTCCGATATATGTATATATAAATACATACATACAAACATACAAACATACAAACATACAAACAGACAAACACACATACATACATACATACATACATACATACATACATACAAACATACATACATACATACATACATACTAGAACCACACGCGCGCGCTACGCGCGCGCTTAGATTCTAGTCGCAGATGAGCCACGGGTGCCGCTGGAAGCCCCGCTGTGGCCACAACGACGATTTCCGGCGTTCTCGGGCCCATGCCATCGACGCAAAGAAACGCGTAGTCAGAACGCGGGGCGCCACGTTTCCGCGTATCTCACAAATCTCGGTGGCGCTTTTGATTGGTTTATCGAATTGCGATTTTTCTCAAGTTTCACATCCGCTCTGCCCCGTCATGACACTAAATTATTTTGCACATTTGCTCGGTCTCCCCATGCCCGGTCACGCAGACATGCGCCGGCTCCTGATGTTGGGGTTGGCTCAAAGCCTCGTTGCGCGCGCGCACGTGGGAATGCGCTGCTTTGTGTTACTCTTCGCTGTGCTCCAAGATTATGGTTCTCAACGGTCGTTCAGCTGTCGTGTATCTGCAGATGGTCCCAGTCATCAGTGCCCTTCTCTCCAATCACTTGTTGTCGAATCCGTCCACGGGAGTCGAGGGGCTTCTTAATGCTGGACGCCAACCTCATGCTGGCGATAATCGCACGCGTGGGATTAATAAAAGGTTCGGGTTCACGGGGGATGCTCAACGATTTCCCCGGCAAGTCCCATGTATGGGACTGCCTGGAGCTCGGACGGAGGCATTGGCAGTACCTTCTTGGCGTTCTGGCGAAGCCTTTCGGGAAATTGCACTCTTGCCACACCCCGCTCGCTCGGGCGGGTCCGCCGTGCAAGGGTGGGAGGAGCAAGCATCGCGTGCGTGAAATGGTAATTATGGTGTGGGGATGCCCTGCTCTCTGTGGCGGGGGTTTCCCTGGCGCTCTGGCGGGTCCTACCCAGGAGGGGAGGGCGGAGCACGAAACCTGAGGAACGTCATGGTACAGCCACACCCCGTGCGCTCTGACGGGGTTCCCCCGGATCCGGTGGGAGGAGCAAAACAGAACAGGGACTGTATATGGTATAGCGACACCCCTCTCGCTTTGCCGGGCCGCCCTTGAGGGGTGGGAGGGGCAAAGCAACTTTTGAACTGGGAGGGTATAGCGATGCCCCGCTCGCTCTGGCGGGGCCTGTCTGGCACTCTAGCGGGGCCGTCCCAGGAGAGGAGGGAGGAGCACGAAAGCTGAGGGGTGAGGGGAAGAAGAGGAGAGAGGAGGGAATGGAGGCAAGGGGACGGGGCGGGGAGGAATGAGGGACGAAAGGGGGGGCCAGGGCCACCTTGACCGTTTTTGAACGCCCTGGGGCCTCCCGCTCCCGCTCTGGGGCCCAGCTTGGGCCTGTCCTGGGGCTCTCTTGGGCCGTCTGGGGCTCCTCCTGCTTCTTGGGTGCCTCTTCGGCGGTCTTGGGGCGGTCTTGGGGGCCTCTTCGGCCGTTTTCGAGCATTGAGCTCGAGAACGCGAGAAACCGAAAAAGATCAAACAAACCAAGGCAAATCAATGATTTGGGCGTATTTGGGCTCTCTCGGGACATCTCTCGGAACTCTCTCGCGAACTGCTACCACAAAGGCCGGTCCCGCTGCGAGAGATACTCCAACAAGAGCTTACAGAAACACTGTGAAACTCACGGGTGGCGGTTCCAATATTGAGCCCAACTGCTCCTGGCGCGTGCGCAAAGGTGCAGTGCTGGTGCACGTAACGCGCCGGAGGCACGTTGCCTTCAGGGCGGCGCAAGGACCCGACAAAATTATCGGTTTTTGCGCGCCCAAGCGTTTTCATTTGCTGAGCTGCGTGCCCTGGCGCGAACGGCCGAACGACCCCTGCAGCGGGAAACTCTGCCCTTCTGGGGCCACGTTGGAATCATCTGGGCCGTCCTGGAGCGCCTTGGGGCCTCCCGTTCCCGCTCTGTGGCCCAGCTTGGGCCTGTCTTGGGGCTCTCTTAGACAGCCTTGGGCTGCTCTTCGGCAGTCTTCAGGCTCTCCTGGGCCGTCTTGGGGCTCTGTTTGGGGCCTCTTCGGCGGTCTTGGGGCGATCTTCGGGGCGTCTTCGGCCGTCTTGGAGCGTCGGAAGGTCGAAAACGCGAGACACCGAAAAACTTAAAACAAACAACGGACCTCAAGGATGAGGGCCTCTTCGGGCTCTCCCGGGACGCCTCTCGGAGCTCTCTTGGGACCTCTAGGAAGCCTCTTGGGCTGTGTGTTGGCAGTATTGGGCCCATCTGCGGCCACGTTGGGGCCATCTGGGCCGTCTTGGAGCGCCCTGGGGCCTCCCGCTCCAGCTCTGGGGCTTGTCCTGGGGCCCTCTTGGGCCGTCAGAGGCTCCTCCCGGGCAATTATCTAGCTCCCCTGGGCCGTCTTGGGGCTCTGTTGGGGGCCTCTTCGGCGGTCTTTGGACGGTCTTGGGGGCGTCGTCGGCCGTCTTGGAGCGTCGGAAGGTCGAAAACGCGAGACACCGAAAACATAGAAAAAACATATGGAAATCAAGGATCTGGGCCTCTTCGGGCTCTCTCGGGACGCCTCTGGGAGGTATTTTGAAGCCTCTTGGGGACCTCTTGGGCTGTGCATTTGCGGTCTGGAGCCCATCTTGGGCCACGTTGGGGCTATCTGGGCTGTCTTGGAGGGGCTTGTCGAATTCCCCGAGGGCTTCTCTGGGGCAGTCTGGGAGCTCCCCGGGCGCCGGGGCCTCGTGCACGGGGGTAGATAGATAGATAGATAGATAGATAGATAGATAGATAGATAGATAGATAGATAGATAGATAGATAGATAGATATATATATATATATATATGTCGGCGGTGCCAGGTGCGGAGCGATACCCCCCCCCGGTAATCTCTCCTGGGGGGGTTCGAGCTGGCGCCATTCCCGGCGCGAGCCTGCACGACCCCCCCCCGGTAACACGACCTCCTCTGGTAGGCTGCACGAACCCCCCTGGTAAGGACGCAACCCCTCCGTGAGCGGCGCGCTCCCGGCACGCGCGAACCCCAGCCCCGACGCGCGAATCTTACCAGGACAGGCCGGAACACGGCGGCGGCATTGCATCCCAGGGCCGTGCCGGAACACGGCGGCACTGCTCTTCTCTACGCGGCCGTGCCGTCGACCCCCCACAGCGGCTCTTGGGAGTTGCGCCGCAGCCTCTCGTACTGTGGCCACGAGCCCAGCAGTGCGAACAGCAGGAATGCCAGTTCCTCCTCCTGCTCGTCCACCTCCTCCTCCTCCTCCTCCTCCTCCTCCTCCTCCTCCTCCTCCTCCTCCTCCTCCTCTCCTTCTCCGCTCCTCCTCCTCCACCTCCGCTCCTCCCCCCAACCCACCCCCCACTCCCACCCCCCCACTCCCACAGGGGCGGGGGGGAGCCCAGGTAGACGCAGTGCGGCCTGCACGAAACCCCCCGGTAAAGCGACAGGGGAGGACCCAATGCGGCCTGCACGAACCCCCCCTGCAAAGCGGCAAGGGGGGGGTGTTCTAAGCCGCTGGCGGCCCCCGGTGCGGGCTGCACGAAACCCCCCGGTGGTGCACGAACCCCCCCGGTAGTGCTGGGGGAGGGGTCGTGCCACGGCGCACCGCCAACATATATATATATATATATATATGTATGCATATACACATATATATATATACAGATGTATATATACATATTTGTCGATATAAATCTCGGTTTCGATATCAACATCGACCTCGATCCCGACGCATGAAAGTACTATATACGTATGTACACACGGAGAAATCGTATGCGTGTGATTGACACAGTCATGCCTGCCCCGTGCCCGCACTCTTCCCAGAATCGCGTCGCTATCCATCGCTGTCTCTAAGCTTCAGGCCTCCCATGCCATAAGACATCCCGCCGACGAAGCACGGCGGAAGTGCCGCCAGCTAACGCGTCGGGCCGGACCCAAATGGCTCGGATGTGAAAGGGCCCGTGCCTTCCTTGCAGGGCGAGAGGGAGAGAGAGGGGGACCCAGTGAAAAAGAGACAGAGAAAGAGAGAAAGAGAGCGAGAGAATGGAACCGTTCTGCTTCACCACAACGCTGCTGAAATCACAATGTAAAAAACAAGAGTCGCTAGGCGCAGCGCTGAAGTAACCTGGAAAACCGCACGAGCCAAATTGCCACATAGCCGAGTGCGTGTACGTGATCACTGAAGACATTCGTCGACATTTGCTTTTTGTGTGTTTTTATTTGTTTTTTTCGTGCCGCGCTCCGGGAGTGTGGGCCGTCGGGGGAGGAGGGGAAATGGAGGCGTGCCCGTGTGGAAACTAGTCCACGGCACGGAAAGGTCGCGGCTGGACCTGTCAGTACGCGCTGGTCGGGGGAGAAAATACAAAGGAATGCGTTCAAGAACGCAGATTGGCCTTCGGCCCGCGAACGAAGGGGGAAGGAGACAGAAAGGCCGCTAGAGCTGGGTAGACCATTGAAGCAACAGGGTGATTCGAATGGATGCGGGTGTGATATTCCAAACTGTGTTTCCAACCTGCCTACGGACAGCACCACGAGAGAACAACCAAACGTTAAGAGCATAACAGTGGCTTGCGGGTGAGGCCTTGGCCAGCCAGCCTACGGTCGGGAGCAAACGCAGTTCCGCGAACTGCCTGCCCAGACCACGCCGTGGGCGGAGGGGGGCACACCAAGACGAGCCTGATGCTCTCGGAAACGCAACCTCCAGGGCAGCAGGAAAGCGACTCTGGGAGCCTCGAGGCGGAGCGAAGCGAAGCGGAGCGGGCTGCTGACTGGCCGTGGCGGGCCGGGCCCCCGATGGCGCACAGAAAGCGCCTGGGCAGACCGAGCGAGACGGGCAAACGGGCAGGCGGTGCGTGGGCTCTGGGGGCCTCGTCTTTCTCCCAACCTGCAGCACCCGAGGATCGGGGGCGTCCAAGAGGGGGGGGGTGCAGATCACGGCCCGAGGCATGTGCGCGGGCCTGGGGGGGCCAGGGAACGCACTGGAATGAGCAGAGGGGCCAGGACATCTGGGGAGGTCTCGTGGCCCCCGCCATGCTATCCCCCCCCCCCTGGTCATCACCCCCGGAGAAGGAGGAGGTGGATGGATGGATGGATGAGGTAGTGGGAAGAAGGGGGATGCATAGGATGAGGAGGCGGAGGAGGAGGAGGGGGAGGAGGAAGAGAAGAGAAGGAGCCCTCTGTGCCGCCCCCGGAGGGGACCAGGCTGGGCCTCGTGTGGCCGGAGCCACCAGCGCTGCCGGATCAGCCGCCGCGCCTCGCCCGCCCTCGGCGCGCGACGAGGTCCTCGCAGCTGCCGGGGACCGCGTCCTGGACGCTCCGCTTGGGGATACCATCGAAGCCCTCGTCGGTGGGCTTGTGCTGGCAGCCGACGATCGTGCCCGAGATGTTCGCCTGGCCGCGCCGCTCGAAGGGCCGAAGGGGGTCAGGGCGGCCGGCACCTCCTCGAACCTGAGGTCGAGAGGCTTGGTCAGCTGGTACAAGTAGCGCTCACCCTCGAGGACCGTCTCGGAACGCGGGTCCAAGGAGACGCCCATGCTGGTGGGGTCGACCAGCATCTTGTAGAAGGAACAGACCGGCTCGGCAATCGCCCTCCCGGCGACAACCACGAAGTCACAGAGGCGAGGCAGCCCCTCCGAGCCGCACTTCTGACCGAGCGCGCGGCCAGCGGAGCCATCGATCACCACGCGGCCACCGGCGCGCACCAGCCTGTCCAAATCGAAATCGAGCAGCCAATCCGAGTCGTCTCGGAAGATCATCATATACTTGTACGGCTCCCCCTCCGTCACCTCATTACGTATCTGTCGAGACCGTCCAGGGATCATCCAGTTCCTCGGAAAGCTTGGCGATACTTCTTCTGGTCGTCTTGGCGTGCTCCAGGTTCTGCGCCCCCTTGGTCGTGGGGCCCTTCGAGCACCAGTTCCCATGGACCACGAACGCTTGGCCGTGCGAGGTGAGATTCACCTGCTTGGGCATCCTCACTGCGGCCGCGGTACCCCCATGACCGCGTATCCCCTCGACGATCATGTCCTTCACCTCGTCCAGGTCCTTCCCCCTGCACGCGGGGTGCATGCCGAATCTATTTACATGGCTTCGCCAGGAGGTGAAGCCCTCGACGCTGAGGCTACTGAGGTACACGTCCACCGTGCGATGACTGCGGGCGAGCGGCGCCACGACGTGCCTGTCCAGGTTGGAGAGGTAGCGGACGAGCGTGCCTGCAAGCAGAACGGCCACTCCGTTCCCCTTCGCGCCGGTTGTCTCTTGCTGAACCGCGCCCTTGGCTGCCCGTGCGGCGGCCTCTCCCACAACCTTGCCCGCCTCACTCTTGAGATAATTAAGCGGTTGCCTTGGCATCTGCCTGCCCATGGGCGGCGGCATCCTGCTCGAGGACGCGCGGGGCGCTGTCTGGCAAGCCTTCGCCATCGTGCTGGGCGGCGCCGAGGGGCGGCAGCACGGCTGCCATAGAAGAAGAAACAACGCCATAAACATAAACTTGTGGCGCTCCGCGCGGATTTCTGGGATCCGCACTGGACGCCCCTCCCTGGCGCGCGGAGCGCGCCAGGGGCGGCGCCGGAGGCGCCGCCGGGGTGGCCCAGCGCGGATCCAAGACATCCGGCGCGGAACGCCAAACGTTTCTGTTTGTGGCGCTTCTTCTTCTTCTTCGAGCCAGGGCGGCCAGGGCCACCACGGCCGCCGCCGCCAGGCGGCGGCAGACTGCCGAGAGCCCTCTGGCCGGCGGCGCCCGCTGGGGGGTTCCGGGCCCCGCCAGCAGGGCGACCGGCGTCGGGCTCCGGCGGGGCGCCCGAGGCCGGCCCAGGCGCAGTGGTGCCGGGGGCGGGGCCCGTGCCTCGCGAGGGGGCGCGATGGGGGCGGGGGCCCGGCGTGGGAGCCCCCGACGCCCCCCTTGAGCGCCACCTGGGACCACGCATGCCGCCCGCAGGATGCGCATTTTCTCGCACTGCTCACACGCACGTGTGCTCGCGAGAGCGGCGCGACCTTGGATCCAAGCAAGAGGAGGGCGAGTAAGGAAGTGAACAGGAACAGGGCTGGGGCGGACCAGGAGGAAGTGGTAGAGGAGAAGGGCAAGGCGGATGAGGATAAGAGCCGGAGGAGCAAGAGGACAAGGGAGGCGTAAAAGGATCAGAACGACAAGGACGAGGGAGAGAACGAGAAGACGAACAAAGAGAGGCAGGCGCAAGGAAAAGAGGAGGAAGAAGAGCAGAATGTGCACAGAGTGTGAATCAACCTCTGGGGTGTGAAACGCTACTGGGAAATCTCAGATCGATGTATTCTTAGCAGCGGGGTCGATGAAGCTTCCAATCCCAGGTGGTGCTCACACGTGACGACGACACTGCTGAATCCCGCTGTGCACGCAGATCTACCCCTGAATCCCCTCAAGCCCTTCTCCTACTGTCCTCCTCTTCTCATCTAGATGTTGACCGAGAGGGTGCCGCCACTTTCTGCCAATCTTCGCTGCTCCGGAGCAATTGGTTCTGCAAGCTCTGGCGCTGGCCACGGTGTTCCCCAGCCCTTGGCGCGCAGCCCAGCGAGAGCGGTGGAGGCAGGGGGACGAGGGGGCGGGGGCGGGGGCGGGGGGCAAAGCACATCCCTCCCGCTCTGTCTTTACATCTTGCCCTCCGTTTCTCACCCTCCTCCTCCTCCTCCTCCTTATCCTCCTCGTCGTCCTGAACATCGTTTCCCCTTGTCATGCCTCTCCCCTCGACCAGCCTTCAGCGATCCGTGGGCGGCGTGCCCACCTGCCTACATATACCATCCCTCCAGAGAAGAAGAGACCCGACATAGCTCTCCTTGCATTTGTGTGCTGCTGGGTGCTTTCAGGGCTCGGCGCCGCGGCAGCAGCACGGGGAAGGCAAGGACCAACTCGGTGTGCCCAAATCAGAAATATTATGTGCGGGCCTGGGATGACAAGAGATAGATTCCCTTTGTTGCAAGTGCGGTGCAGCCTTCGTATCGCAGCAGCCCCCCGCGGCCAGGAACAGGAGTCAGGCCCTTCAGACGGTTGGAAAACCAAAGGCCGCTGGCGCACGGCCTCTAGGAAGAACCGTTTCCAGCCACAACAACCGAACAAGTCGCCCGGGCTTCAGTCCGACACAGCAGAACCCCAAAACAAACCAACACCCTCGATAGAAGTTGACAAGTGACAGCGGGCAATCCAGTTTTGGAAGAAGGAGGAGGGGGTGGAGGGACTCCAGTGCCTGGAGGCGCTGGAAAAGCTCAAGGCTGCCAAAGTAGCCATGCTGCGTGGCCAGCCCTTGGGCCAGCAAGCCCAACGCCTTGCTGACCAGCTGGCAACCCAGAAACGAAAGTACCAGTGCAACAATCAGTCTTTGGTTCTCCTGCAGGCGCAGACTTTTTACCATCAGGAACAAACGGCAACACTGCTTCGCGAGCGGAAGGAGCTTGTCCAAGGGACCGACACGCTCGAAGGACAGCATGCAGCAGCAGTCGCAGCAGCAGCCCAGGAATCGCAGTCAGGAGCAGAAGGCTTCGTGGCATCGGTTAACCAGCTGGCCCAGAAAAAGGGGTCTGTCCGCACGGACAACCTGTCTCCAGCCCAAGCAGCAGCCGAAACCCAGCTCGCCAACCTCCTTCCGGAAGCCCTGGTCAAGGTCAACACCCTGGCAGTGCCAGCAGCAGTGCAGGCTCCCCCAGCCTCAGCAGCCCAAACATCAGCAGCAGCGCAGGCCCCCCCAGCCTCAGCAGCAGTGCGTGCTCCCCAACCTCAGTTGCCCATCCAGCCTGAGCAGCAGCGTTCCCAGCCTCAGGCAGGCTTCGTCGTGGACGGGGGAGTACCTCAGGGGATACAAAGATGGACGGGAGACTACCCGGCATCAAGCGCACTCAGGAGGCGCTGGTGCAGGATATCCAGGAGCTACATCGACTCGCCTCCATCAGACCCCAACCCCGAGAAGCTCCTCTTGCAGGCC